GGTTGAGTTAGGAGAGAAGGGGATGTATCTGTAAATATATTTAATGTCACCAAGTCTGCTTACTATTTAATTCTGTTTTACGCAGTATGCCTCCCTTATTACTTTATCTTAACTCAGTGATAATCCACAGGGTATCTTAAAGTCTTCCCTTAAGGGTTCAGCAAATTTTTTTTTAAAGTCAACAAATACCAAAAGGAGGAGCAAGATTTTGGGAATTAGGGTTTGCAAAAAGAGTTTGCAAACATTTTACAGAGCACGGGATTTTAACTTAAAATTGTAACTTAGCAAACATGTTTTAAAGACAGACACCTAAGTTCCTCCCTGTTGTACTGAAACAGCGTAACAGCATGACTTTTTGAACAATAAAAAGACCTACGCTCATTGGCATTTCAGACAGTGTGGTCTTACTGTCCACTTATTCTTCCAAATTCTGCTCCAAATTCTAAGATTTCATCCTTTATAATTGCATTTCTATTTCAGTTTACACGGGACTGTTGGTAAAATGATGTAACATCTCTTCCACCCAGAAAAGTTAAGGCAGGAGCATCCTGGGTCCTAGAAACGCAATTTCTGAAGATTGATGTGAGGCCAATAGTCTCTACTCCCTACATCATTAATTAAAGTCCCTCAGTATTTTGTCACCAGCTCCTTCACAAGTAGAAGAGGGGATGGATTCTTGCACCTCTACTCCTGCTTTATTTATGGCCATATACAACGTGAAAAACAAACAAATGCACAACCCATTTAATTGGGTTACACAAACACAGATCTGTAGCATGACACGCTGAGTGCTTGTTGATGGTATTTCCAAGACTGTCTATTTTCACGGTTCTGGTCTGAGTTAGCTTCTTTTCGTTCCCTCTCCCACTTGGTTATCAGTTGCTCAATTGCTTTTCAACACAATTATCTATTTTACAGTCTCATATCCAATGCTACCTATTATTTTGGTGGATTTCAGATGTACAAAACCAAATCCTCTAAGTCTGTACAGCTGCCAGCTGCAAATATGCATACAAGCCTTAGGGAGTTTGTTTTCTCAGACTGCATGGTCAAGATATTTACAAATAAATGGACTAAATTAATCTCTCATGTGACTCTCTTGAAGCAAAAGATTTGGCCCAGTGTGTTTAAAGAAAGTAATTTTCCTGAAAATTTTATAGTCAAGAGTCCACAAAAATTACAGTGAAGGTATTTATTTCAATATCATTCTCACAATGTACTTCTCAGCTCTTCATCTTTTATGGTTATTTTCTTCCCTGTTTTGGTTCTGTAACTTTAGTTTCTAAAGAAATTTATAATAATAAATAATGTATCCCCATTTAGTCTTAAAACTGTTAAATCTTCTGAACTTCTTCCCTTTCCTTCTTGCTCTGTTAAGTGATCCTGTGCATTCTACTTCTAGTTCCTTCCGTCTAACACGATCAGACACAATTTTTCATTTTCCAACATAATTTTCAACACTTGTAAAGACTTCCCCACCACTGAAATGTGATGCCAGTATCTGTCTTACAGACAAATTTGTCCTCATCCTTATGAATCTAACAGATGAAAGGTGAACAAAACCTGACCTAACTTTTGCATTTTTGCTGAAGTACCAAGAGTTGACAGAAGATAATACAGCTCATGGCTTTTTGCTTAAGGTGTCAGATCAAGAGACACATCCATTTTGAGCAGTATTCTTGAAGAAAGAGCTGGATCAACTAGAAAAAGTCCCGAAGGGAACAAGAATAAACACACATCTAGAAAATTATTTAAGAACAGAGACTGAAAGAGCAAAGGCTAATTCATCTTAAAAGAAAGGGTGCAACAGAGACACAATATTATGTTGAATTTTGCTGAAAAAGAGGACAGAGGTAATCTCTTTATCTTTGAAAGAAAGAACAAGGAAAAAAAAAAGAAAGTTTAGCAAGGAGATTTAAGCTAGATACTAGGAAAACCTTATTAACAGTAAGCATAGATAAGTATTAGAATAGATCACTTAGGGAGGAAGTGAAATCTCCACTGCTGGATTTGTTTCAGCATAAATTAGACAAACATCTTTTCATAATGATTTAAGTAGAGTTGATCCTACCATGCACAAGGGACAGCCCTTCAAGGTCCACTCCAGCCTTATTTTTATGATTCTACATTCCTAGTTCTTCAGCTTCTGCTGAGATGTGTCTGGCACTCCTCCACATGTCATAAACAAAGGATTTTTGCTGATCCCACAGTTCCTGTCCACAAACTTTTACCACTTCAGATCTCTTCATCACAGGACCTCACAAACCTATAGATTCTTTCACAGCATTTTGCAAATGAGCTAAACCTCAGGATTTTATAGTACAAGTGATGAACTTGAATTCAGTAAAATCTGATGGGTTCATAAGTAACTCTGGAGAGCCAAGAGTTTGCTCTCCAGCCTCTCAGTTTGTACTGCAATTAGTACAGAATTGCTGTTCTCCCAGGAAGCAGTATGACATTCCACACAGGACAAGCAGTAATCTCTGATGTGTTGATGCATCACAACCTACAAGCTGTGAGTACTGGGTTCTACTGTGAGCATCACCCATGTCATAACTGGATGGAGAGTAGTGAAAAAGCTGAGAAAACAGAGGCAAAATAGGGGAGGCTGTAATCAAGTCTTCAGTGAAGAATACTTGGGAGGTCTCCCTTAGCCTAAAAACATTGCTAAAGGCTGCATTTTGGCATAGTGATAGAAAAGGAGGAATACTGGAGTCTGCTGTCTGTTCTCAGGGTTATTTTTTCATTTTATCCAATGATTCTTGTCTGAGGACTAGACAAAAGTGGAATAACATTATCACCATGCTACATCATGAAGTTCATGATGTCAACTTACTTTTCTACTTGGTTATTTGCACTCTACATCCTGTTTGAGCTGAGCCCAAGTAGCAGGGCTGGAGGCTTGTATGTTGTTTAAGGAACTGTGCTGGAACATGAAGAAATGGATTTGAATACTCCCATCAAACCAAGATATGCCTATTACTCACCTTCCAGGAACCTGACCACATTTTATTAAGTCAATGAAGAAAGCAAGGCACACTAAATAGTTTCATACACTTGGCTCACTATTGACAATAAAAGAGAATCTAATTGCTGCAATTCTGAATTACTGAATATGACCCTGTTCTAGAGCCACGTCAGCATCTATTGCTAGGTAATATGTAATGGAAGGTCTCTGTAATGTAATGGAAACTATCTGTTCTTAGTATCATAGAATACCAGGTTGGAAGGCATCTCAAGGATTGTCTAGTCTAACCTTTCGAGGTAAAAGTATAGTTTAAATTATACGGCCCAGCACCCTGTCAAGCTGAGTCTTAAAACTGTCCAATGTAGGGGAATCCACCACTTCCCTTGGGAGATTATTCCAGTGTCTAATTGTCCTCATGGTGAAAAAGTTTCTTATGGAGTCCAGTCAGAATCTCCCCAGGAGTAACTTGTATCCATTACCCCTAGTCTTTTCCATGTGACTCCTCTAAAAAGGGAGTCTCCATCTTCTCGGTAGGCATCCTTTATGTACTGGTACATGGTAATAAGGTCTCCCCTAAGCCTTCTCTTCTCAAGGCTGAACGAACCCTGTTTTCTCAGCCTTTCTTCATATGGCAGGCCTTCCAGTCCTCTGATAATCTTCATGGCCCTTTTCTGGACCCTTTCCAGCTTGACCACATCTTTTTTGTATAGCGGGGACCAAAACTGAACACAGTACTCAAGGTGTGGTCTGACCAGTGCTGAGTAAAGCAGGATAATGACCTCTTTATCTCTGCTGGTGATGCCTTCGTCAATGCAACCCAGCATCCTGTTGGCTTTCTTTGCCGCTGCGGCTCACTCTTCACTCATGTTGAGCTTGTCATCCATCAAGACTCCCATGTCCCTTTCCACAGGGCTGCTCTCCAGCCAGGTGAATCCCAGTCTGAGCTGCATTCCTGGGTTATGTATTCCCAGGTGCAAGACCTTACACTTGTCCACATTGAACTTCATAATGTTCCTGCTAGCCCACTCCTCCAGCCTGTCCAGGTCTTCCTGGAGGGTGGCTCTCCCTTCTGGAGTGTCAGCTACCCCACTCATTTTGGTGTCATCTGCAAACTTCATCAGGGTGCTCTTGATCCTAACATCCAAATCACTTATGAAGAGATTAAACAGCACCAGGCCCAATACTGATCCCTGGGGGACCACACTAGTGACTGGCTGCCAGTTTGAGAATGAACTATTTACTACCACCCTCTGACTATGGCCTGTCAGCCAGATCCCTACTCACCGCACAGACCACTTGTCTATCTATCTAGTATTATATTTATGGCTAGTAACAACACACTCTTTAGTCAGAGTTTAGAAATTAATCCTCTGCTGAGAGTCAATAATTTAAACAGACCCTAGGCCACGATATGTGAAACAATGCCCAAGAACAGAACTACAAACAAATTTAGGGACATTGTAAGTACTAATAAACAAGCATGTCTCACTTTTCAGTTAACTCAGGTACAGCTAGAAGCCCTATGAGCTCATTGCAAAGCACTTAAAAATTGTTCTTAAGAGGCCAACCCCATTTGTTTTTTTGCAACAGCTCTGTGGATGAGTACCCAAGGCATCACAGAGGCAGCACAGACCTGGATACAAATATTTGTTATGTTATCCTGACATGTTACAATCATTATCACAGAGAATTTTTGTTATACATAATGAAGGAGCATCTATATGACGAAGTATTTCTTCTGTATCATTCTATTACTGCACTTTGTACAATAGTATATGGACATTCTCAGTAAAGGATGATCTGCTGCTATTGTATAATCCTTTTCAACATTAATAATTAAAATTAGAGTGCTGATCACTAAGATATAGCTGATGATTTCTTTAACGATAGATTAGTACTCAAAACTGTATCAGTTAAACAGCTGTGAACTGCATTGGTCTGGAGAACACTCATGAGAAATCAGAATATCAATGTGTATCTTCAGATGTAGAATAATCTATACAGTAACTTAGCACAGGGAGAAGAAACTTACCTCTTCTTCTTCCAGTCCAGTTAGATCCCAGAAGTAACTCAATCTCATCTGCAAACGCTTCCATTGTTCAAGGAACATAGTAGCTTTAAAAAAAAAAAAAACCAATTTAAAATTATAAATCCAATGCCCTGTGGTGAATGTTTGTGTTACTTATAAGCTCTAACCGATATGTGAATCCCATTATGCTAGGCCCTTTACAAATAACCACTAAGAAACAGCCCCAGGCCCAATTTAAAAAAAATAACACAAGCAAAGCATGGAAACAATAATTACTGTCTTTTTAAAAATAAAATAAAGAAAGCTACAACATGGATTGCCCAAAGGCACTGGCAAGTTCCTGTCAGGGGCTGGAACTGAACCCATATCTGTTGATATCCACCCCAACAACATCATCTGTTTTAGTTTACCATGAGTCATTCTATAATTCCTAGGTAAAAAGCATATAATAAACAAAATCTAGATCTAAATATTAATCTGTAACACTCTAACTGGCTAAACAGATTTTGCCACTTCAGTGTTTCTAATCAGTCAGAAATATGTGAAGAAGGTAGGTGCAGTCTGCTACTGAAATAAATGAGTAATATCTATATGTAAACTAAGACCCTCAGTAATATGTAGAAAATCATGTTCTTTTGAAACACATTATAGTGGTACAGTTCAATGTTTCTGTCCTGCATAGACACAGTGATTTTGTTCTAAAGGACTGGCCCGTAGTTCAGTCTTCTGCTTTTCCTTTTTTATTAATATGAAGAAACAGATGTTGTACTGTTGTCTCATATTTACAGTCTCCTGACCTTCCTCTCATAACTGCTGTTTCCTCTAGATAGCCCTTTGCTTAGCTGCTCATGATTTATGGACTTATGGATTTATTAGAAATAGGACTTCTCATTCTTGACTTGCGGACACCTATTTTCAGATGACTATACTACCAACTAAAAACACCCAGTATACCAATAAAATCTATACTTATAAACAACTGTGGGCACTGTTCTCCATTTTCTTATGCTTCACTTCACCTTTTTAGTTAGTGAAAAGGGGATTGTAAAAACATTGTTAGATCACAGCAGTATTTACATCACTTTGAACATCTTGTAGATAGCTCTACAAGACACACAACAATGGAGAATTAGATCCAGCTTCCTTTGACTGCATCTACACTTGGTGTAAGCTGTAAGATAATACTGGGAAAAGTTAGATTACTATTAAAATAACCTGACTCCTACAAGACAGAATCTATTCCAACAGTTAGCTGCAAGTATTTTCTGCAGAGTTATCCTTCCATAATGTAAGAAATAAATATCATTTAAACACAGGACTGGCAGTACACTGAAAGTAAATCCAGACATTAAGCAATTAAGTTGCTGTCCCTGCTCCTTCCTTATAAAGGAGAGGACGTATAAAAGCTATATTTAGTGTGTTTTGAAAACTCAAGGGTTTTTAGATATCCTAAATACAAAAACATTTTGTTATTTTACAGGGTGCTATAACTCATTCCATTTTTTCCTGTTATTCAAAAAGTCAGTTCTACATTTAGCTCTGTAAGAACTTACTTGGCTACATGCAGTAGCTGTTCTGAAATCAGCAAGTTTGCACTGACTTACACTAGCAGAAAAGCAGTCCCATTATATTCAACTGTCTTTCTAGTAAACTCATCTGACAGCTGAAATTCAGTATGCCAGAACACCAGTGACATTAAGCACAGTTAGCCAGGCATTAGTCCGTATTTTGTGAATATGGTCATTTGCAAACAGTATTGCTGGAATCACAAAGATACTTTAAGAGGCATCAAGACCAGTTAGTAAAATCATGATTGCTTTCAAGATATTAACCATAGTATGTCATCTGCCTTTTACAGAATGGGAGAAGGCAAGCAGGATGAAAGACTTCTTGTGTCCAACACCATCATGAAATGAAGCCAGCTCAAGTTACCAAACTTTGCTCTTTTAGGTATACAATTATAAGTCATAAGACGTATCAATTTCCACATCACTATACTTTATCCTACGAAAAAGCATTCAGGCAACATCTACTCAAGATACTGTGAGGCAAGCTGATTAGGTGTGTGAATGAGAGCTGTTATTCAGCAGAATGAGCTCTAGATACGACCAGTGCAGTCTCCTAGTAGCAAGGCAGCAAAATTTGGTGTAATCTAATGCTTAATACGCAAGCTGGGCAGTGTTAGTAAAGGATACTTTATTTCGCTTTGCTGTTCTTTTTATACAACGGCTGTATTTTCTTGCACTGACAGGCTCAGTTATCATGGTCCCAAGAACAGACTTTCCCAATCTGTGGGAAATATTTTTTTGGAAGGAGGCTACAGCTCAGAAAGAATTTTGTTATTCTTACATGCCTTTTTTTAAAAGCAATGAGTATGGAACTTTTTGTTCCTTTCTGTTCCTTTACAGATTCTACTAATTTATCTTAGTGCAAGGATATATCAACATTTTGCTTTCCACTGTTACTAAAATATAATTCTTTCGGATGAGTCTGCATGGAAATGATCATTTGCATGTATGCAAGTTTACAGTAGAGATTCTTTGTCAGGAAAATACTATTTACCTATGAAAGGGTAAATGAATTGTCATTCATACACATGCTGTCCGAACAGCTACAATGAAACTTGGACATGGCAATGTATTGCATGCTTCATGGCAGCCGGTAAATTGTGACACCTTATCTGCCAGTCTACTCTGTAATTGGCAGCAATCTGAGGTAGGAAAATAAGTCATTGTGAGAGTCTATAAATTCATCATCTTTTGCCATTTCTCTCAGTCATAGTGCTTATCTATTCTTTAACTTCTGCTGAAGGGTTTCTAGGAACTGGTAAACAAAAACTTCTTACTTCCATGGTATAATCTGTTTGCAAGTTCCTTAAAAAACTTATGCTATCCATACTCAACACCAAGCTACCAATCAGTCATTCCTAAAAAAGCTGTAAAATTTTAATAAGGTTGCAATGTATAAAACACTGATTGTTGAGGGATGGCTACAATATAATAATATATCTGCTCAATTTCATATTAAGAATGAAAATTTAATTTTGTGAACAATGAATAGGGAAATAAATTATTTTACAGTAGCAATCACAGCTTTAACTTTCACAATAAGGAAGATCTAGAGTGAATGAGGGCATAACATCAGCAATAATACACACGAGCACAGTACACACACTCTTCAGGGCAGAGGTGAGGCCAGAAACAATAAGAATACTACAACGTATTCATTAGGGTTTATGAAGTGTTTTGATATCCTCAGTGAAACAGGGTATACTTGCCATTAAAGAGAACCACGCTTGTTTAAATGCAATACTTTAGAACATATTATAATTAAAATGATAATAGTCCCATTGTTCTTGGAAGCCCATAAAGTTTTGTTAAAATTATGTGATTAAGTTGTTCCACATGGAAGTGCTCTGTGTGCTTAAATTAAACCCTTTCAGCTGCCTGCATCATACCAATCCCCAAATACATCCTGGCCCCAAATGCAGGAGGTTAACACCTTCTTAACACCAGGGACTTGCCATATTGATAGAAAATGAAGAAAAATGAAGAAAAACATGGAAAAATTAGAAGTGCCATTAAACAAGGCAGTAGAGGGAGAAAGGACACATTTTTCTTTCCTGAACTACTCAACTCCTCTCCATTTATTCCACAGCTTGCTGTTGACATCAGAAAGCCTTGTTCCAGTCCCAGCACAGACAGCCCCTCACTGGCCTTCTGAGGCTTGCCAGCTTCATAAGCCACCGATATTACATTCAATCTAATGGCACTTTATTATACGTAAGGCTACTATATGTTCTACTACTGTGCATCCCAGCTTTCATTTCTGTCAGGAGTCCAAATATCAAATGACACTGTTAACATGCAAAGCAATACTCACCCCAGAGAGCCATAAAGATGGAGAAGAAGACTGTGGCAGGGTTATCAAATAAGTGGCTAGCTCGAGCGGTAGCACAAGCCGAGCTGAGGTTCCAGTAATCACAGAACTTGTCACACAGTGGGCACATGGTGAAGGCATTGCTTTGGTCGCACATTTCTTTACTATAAATGACAAGTGCACAAACTCTTAAGAGTATTATAACTCAGGAAAGGGGGATGTACAGGAGTGATATCAAGCAGCACACTGTAGCTCTTACAAGCTATTTGCAACATATGTGGTTTGCGCTTGCAGAGAACAGAAGCTGTGTGTTTCTTCAAGGCACATTGCCATGCGCTGTAACATTACAATATTTATATGCACCTTACCAACAGAAAAACAATGCAGCACTGCAGCCAATCTAATCACTGCACTGTATTAATGAATTAGTGAAGACTGCATCACTGAAGACTGAAGTTAACCACGCTAAAAGAAAATAATTAAAACACAGTCAAAGCGGAATTTGCCACCTCTACAGTCAGTTACGTGATTTGATACAGATCAGATTTAAATTCATGAAAAAGAATTCTGAAATGGCTGTAAAGGAAATTGGTGCCCTTGACAAAACACACATTTTTAACACGGTGGCACAAAAAATCCATGTCAAACGTCATGCTACTTTGTGTTTCAGGACTGGCAATGGAAGTCTGCATGAAAGCCAGAACCAGCACCCAAGCATGTTGGTTGGTCTGTGTCACAGACAGAATAAATCTGCAACATCATTTGCAAGACATCCTAGGTTTTGGTATAAACTAACATTAGTGTACTGAATTTAAAAGACTTATAGCATCGAAGAGTCTCATTCTTAGCAAGGATGTTAAATTTCACATAATTTACTTTGAAATTCTCCTCTACCCTGCAATTTATTTGTGAGATATATATAAAAGCAATGGTTGTTTTCCCTGCATAGGGCTTTAACACCAATTCTCATCTGTAGTACCATCTGCAATAAAGTTTTGGCTAAGTTCTTCAAGTGTGGGTAGTTATTTTAGGCACCCATTCTAATACGTTTTAGGGGTGTTCAGGTATTGTGCACAGTGATTTCAGGAAATCAGATACCTTTACATTTCGGGGTTCTCAAGTTTGAATGCTAAATATGAATGCAGCATTCTCAGTCTCCATAGCTCCTGCTTTTTCTAGTACAGAGTGCTAACTTAATTTTCAAAAAGAAAAAAAAAAAAAAAAAGAAAAAAACCAGCTCCCCACCAGCAGCAACTCTTATAAAAACTAGAAAGCTTCCACTTCTGCCTCATATATTCAGATGATACACTGTATTTCCTTCCTCTCAGTTTACAGCATTTGTTCAGCTGTCCTCTGGAAAAAGTGACATACGAGACTTCTTACAGATATTTAAATCTTTACTTTAAAATTGTTATTTTAATTCTTAGTCTTATTTGCTACGTATTTACTGAGCTTCTAAAAATCTTTGAAAAATCATTAACACTATCTCTTTATCAAGCCAAACCCTACTTGGCACTGCTGAGTACGCTTTCAGGTTTTTTCATAAGGTTTGTATGTCAAAGACCTTCATACCTGCACAGTCTTACTCAGGTGAACTGAGTAGTGCAAAGCTCAAATGTCCTTGCCAGGATTGTGAGCTAAAGAACGACTTGCACCACTGCTTCACTGACAGCTAGCATATTGTGTATTGTGATTATGGTTGTTCCTATGCTGACCATCATTAAATAGCATTTTTTCTAAGACTTCAAAAGAAAAAAGAACTATTCAAACTGTAGTATCAATATGTTTACTATTATATCACCTGAAAGACATACAGTTCTTTCCAGCTATCATGTCACTACAGTAATATTCTCTTCTATTTCAAAAGGCAGCAGAGGGTGCTGCAGATACATCTTAGCCATAAATCTCACTTAAGTTTAGATGTTAGCACAAGCTTTCCCACAGACAAGCACAGACAATCAACATTCATTCAGATCAAGCTAAGAAAACAAACCCTGACTCACATGTGTTGTTATTCATCATGTGTCTATCAGTAATAATGTCCTGCTACCATGACCCACTTTAAAAGTTGCCAGTTCATCTGAGAGAATGCAGGAACTGCCACAATGAGTTTGACCAGCAGTACTAGTAATCCAGTATCCTGTCTCCACCAGAAGTCAGACACAGATAACAGAGGAAGTGCCTTTTTTTTTTTTCACTGAGAAGCAAACATTAACATCATTGTGTCAATTTGAGAGTTTTTGTTTAGTATAACACACAGCACAAAACTCAACATTTTTTTGTAACTGCCATGAAGGAGAATATTGTGGATACCAAATATGCTAGATCTGCTAAGTATTGTTCATCTTACTTGTGTAACTAGCTTGATTTTAATAAGAAGAACAAGGTAATCCAAGAGTGGAAGGCATATTTTCATTAACCCCAGTGACTTCTGCATGATGTCTTTCTGGGTGAGGGTGGAGATATGTGCATTCATAAAAAGCAAAAAGAGGTCATAAAAAAGAATTTACAACAATGCAGTAGACTCACTGAACATTTCTGTTTCGGAATCTGCAACACTGAACAGCCAAATAAATGTGTGTCATTCAAATGTCTTCCCTACTTAATGCATGTATATTTCTAGTGCTCACAGGGTTGTTAATGATACATCACTACTCTTCAGGCATATTTAAAGCAACTATTCTCATTAAGGAACATAAACAAAAAGCACAGTGTTATCATTTTCAAGTAACAAATTATTGGTCACAGAGAAGCTTACCTAGGAATGTCACTCTCAATGGTTATACATCCATAAAGAAATACAATAATCCCGACTACTGAAGATGGAATGAGGAATTCTGTGTATAAACCCAGCCATGCAAAATAAAGTCCTATCTTTTCACCAAAATACTTTCTGAAAAAGAAGAGAGAAAAAAAGAAAAAAAAAGCATGTCTCAAGGGTATAATTTTCAAATGTGTTTCACAGCTTCTTAACAATCCCTGAAAGTTAAAATACTAAATGTCAAAGACATGGATGAAAACCCTGAGTATCTTGAAGTCAGTATCACCAAATGAATGGGGTGATTTGGGTAGTCTGGGGTTCTCCGTTCTGAGAAGTTCAAGACATTCCTGTCTAATACATACTTAGATCTGCTCAGGGAAGACTGCAGCTTTTGCATCTCTTAAATGAAGTCAGTGAAATATCCCTCACTTCTATCAAGAGAGGCAGAATTTCAACCAAATGTTTATCAGAAAACATTGGAAAGGATTCGGCTCCTCAGAAGAGTATCTAGATATGTCATCATTCTTTGCCTCTGTAGTCCTGGAATCAACTGGTGACAGTCATGGAAATTACATCTATGGGAACATATTGACAACATCCTCTGATATCGAGTAATCTTGAATTGCTGTTAAAGAGGGAAGGTTTACTTGCACACTTAGCACTGGCTTTTCAGAAAGGGTAAAATTTTTTTGACAAATTAACAGTCTCTGCACAGCTGGTTTTTAAAAACAGTTTCTGCTTTGAGGAACAGTTCACTGTAGATGTTGATAAATATGTGCTAGTACTCAGCCAAAAATCTTCATGAATCACACTGCAAGAAGTAAACTAAACATAGATGAAACTCACTGATGATTCCAAAGTACTTTTAGGGGTGATTACAAATATTTCAAAACATCAAGAGCTTCAGAGAGCTCAAGAACTCGCCATCACTAAAATGAGACTAAATTTAGATAAAAAGCAACACAGTTAGAAACATTTCAAAAGCCAGAGAATAAGATTGAGGAATGTCGGGCAGAAAGCAGCTATACAGAGAGCACTCCAGGCATGACATTGCATTTGCATCAATGAGATGTATATTCATATCATGGTGGCGGAAAGAACAAAAGGAATTTCAAGATAACATGTCTAATAAAAGAAAGACCTGCTCCTCAGAAAGACTGAGCAAAATTCCACTTTGAGATTGATTCTGAACCTGCTCACACTATGAAATTTTTACTCAAGCTTAGCACCCCAGATTTAAATTATTCCTAATGAAAATGGTTAAATGAGATTTTTGGAGGCCCAGGATTTCTTTTAACAGACACAATTCTACTCCAACAGAATTTAATGACAAACCTCCAAGTCTGTAGAGTTGAGCTCAAGTCCTTTCAGCAGCATAAGCAAAACAGAGATTTTCTTATCCTGGTCTCAGGGCCAGGCTGCTCCTGCCACAGGAGAGACAGGGGCAAGAGTGCAACCAAGGCAGAGAGCCATGGGACAACAAGACAAGCTTCCACAGTCATTTCCAGCCCAGATAAAAAGAGTAAAGGTAGCACAGTGGGGTTTTTTATTACTGCAGTCTCTGCTATTGTTCTCACACCATCACAGCTGCAGCTAACTTCACATTCCTAGGCTCACATATACAAAAACTGGCAGTGCAGTCATGCCTATTTCAGCGTTGTCTTACATGAGTGCCTATACTTGCTTATGTCTAATCAACCTCACTTATCCTTTAGGAAGGGTACATGCAATCATAAAAGGGAAAACAGAACAAAAGCACTTTAAGGTGATACTCAGACAACATTATCCTCAGTATAGGGAGATGTCATATCTTGGAGAACCAGCACAAAAGTGAAGGAACTTTCAGGAATCTTCTGGGAAAGGAGTACACCCCCTATACCTGACACTTGCAAGGCTATCATAAGCAACGGATTGTGTGAAGTATCAAACAACAAGAGTGGAATCATGACAGAGTGAATCAAAAGGCAATAACTTAATTAGTTTTGTAATTCTCTTTTGTTTCAGAAAGACAGCTTGCACAAGTAAGAATGGGAATACTATTTGCAGTAACTAGTCTTTAAACAACATATGTCAGCTTAGTAACCCTTCATTCACACCACAGCATAGTTTTTAAGCACCTTAGAAATATGGATTATCACATTTGTGCAGAATATAAGGAAATATGATACTATATGAGAGTGTAGTTTATAAAATTATAAACGTAGACATTTATGTTGCAAATATAATCTGAATACTGTGGGACTACCCTGTAACCTGGCACATGCCAGATAATTTTGGAGGTAATTTTTAGGAGGTAGTTTTTCTTTATTTTCGTATTTGTTGTTTTTTAAATATTTTTTAATATGAAGTGAGGGAGAAAATAATTTATTAAAATATAAAAATAATAAGATGGCCCAGAGCTTTTCTTCAAGCCTCCTGCGTGAGTCAACATAAAGCAGCAATGTCCTTGGAGCAGCACAGAACAGAGGGACACTCAATTTGCCCTCAAGTTTCCTCGTGATCGGGAAGTAACACACCTTGTATCTGACAGTAAGGCAAACATCACTGAACACATCCTAACAACATGGAACAAGAAGGAAGAGAGAGCAGCTACACTCTGATTGTCTTTTTCTTACTCCTTCCCTCCTTGCAGAGTTGGGCAACATGCATAGCTAGTACAGTGCTCCAAATAGGTCAAAGAGGACATGAAAAATAGTCCACAATCTGAGCTTTTCTAAACTGTCTACTGCTTTGACAAAGGGCCACAAATTAGCACAGAAAATGTTCAAATCCCAGAAGCATTAGAGTAAAGAGCAGCTGACCAGGGTCAATGAAGTTGAAGCTTATGGCTCATGAGGCTTCCTCTAGAATTTTTAAGCCTTTCAGTGATAAATGTGATCCATAACCTGTAAAGCAAAGAGTTGCTATTTGCATCCACGCCAAGAGAAAGTGAGAAGGGCTGAACAATGTCCTGGCAGTATGGAAAAAAGCAGTTGCCAAGAAGAAAATGGCAAAATGCTCTGTGGCTTAACTGTTTTGAAAAATAAAAATAATTTAGACTGCTGTGGCCAAGCTCAGTCCACCAATGTGCCAGAAAGTGAAATAATACAAGGAGAATCAATGACAGTCCTTAGAAGTATGATGATAAATTTAAATCTGAGTTTATCAAGCTAGAAAATCACAGGACACAGACATGTCCCTTCCCTTTTTGACTTGTCCCCAGAACTGTTCTCCCACTGCTCTGAATAGGAGTCAAGCCTCTGCAAACACCTGTGACCACCTGTGACAACATCTACTGCACTCACAGGTGGATTCAGCTATTTTTGGCTCAGATCTCAAGAATACCATGAGATCAGTTTCTTTCTAGCATCCCTGTAAAAATCTCTTAAGAAAGGCACATCAGCACAGTTTTAAAAGGTTTGAAAGTGTTCCACCTCTACTCAAGTCAATAGTTTTATGTTAGTAAATTGCAATGCTATTTCACTTTGAAAGCAGAATGGTAAGTTTTCTCAAATGCGGACATATTAGCCCCTCTAAGTTTTCACACTAAAACGAAAAAAAATAGAATAACTGTAGTGAATGAGGAGGAAAAAAAAAGTGTTCTTCAAGGGTAGAGTAAGATGTATGTCAAAAATAGGAATTTTTACAAGTTTTTGTATATTTACATCAAGAACTTGGCATCTTCTCTCATTTACATTGGGATAAAAGCAGTCTTACTTTATTATACTCGGGTATTATTCACGATTTGTGCTGACATGGAAAAAGAGGAAAACTGAGACAAAAGTTTCACCCTACCTCAGTAGCTAACTTGCATCGAGTTCACACATATCCAGACAAAGCTAAGGACTAATTCTTTCCAAAGTACGCTCATGGATGGCACATTGCAGAGTGCCACAAAAAAAAAGGATGCCTTCTGCATTGCTTGACCTTTATTTCCACATTAGCTGTATTATAATGCTGAGAATGTCCCTTTATATACACATATGCCACAAGGACAGTAGTTCTCATCCAAAGCAAGGGGCAAATGGCTTTGATAATGAGTGTGTACTACTCTTATAAGAAGCAGCAGCCAAACATCCTGTTCTGTGTGTTGTCACAGTATAATGCAAAATTTTGTTCCTTTCACTTCAGAAAACTTTTTGAGTGCTGGTAAAATGGCCACCTACCAGGCACTAAGTTATCTTGAGTAAGAATCATGCCTTTAAGAAATGATTTGGCCAAATCATCCATAACTCCTTCAGAAGCTGAGCAAAAGTTGCACACCAAGGAAATGATCAGAAATAGCACGAAAAAATCTGTAACAACCCCCACCTGTAGAAAGCATATTCCCTCTCATGGCAGAGATAGAATAACTATTGAGAAGGATGCAGTGAAAATGTTTACTCAGTCCTCTCTCTTTTGCCCATATAGCACTTGATCCACACATCTGCAATGCACTTCTGTCCGTCTGGTTGCCAAACCAACATCAAAAAGAAGAACTGATAATTAAACTCTATGCTTGCATATTGGTCACAGTGCTTCCATTCCAAGTTGTGCAATTTACAAATAGAGTAAGATTTGGGGAAGAATGGAGAAAGAGAGAAGGACAAAAACCCTTATTTTTTGACTCTGTGAAAACAAGTGTGGGGTACCTGGAATGTGAATAAAGCATGTGGTGTGTGACACACACTGGAAAGAACTCTGGAGTCATTCAGGAACAAAGTTTAAAAAGCGAGAAAAAGATGCTGTGGACACTGAGTTACCTAACTGGAATACATGTCAAAACTCTTCAGTTTTTTAATTTCCATACTCATTCTAGGCCAGCTGTTATTTCAAGTTTGCAACAATTCATTCCACCACCTCTATGGTGGTGAAACAGTTTCTATGCAATAGTTTGTATGCAAAACTAAACTGATTCACAGCTGCATTACAGCTGGGTAGGCTTTCCCCTGTGCAAATGGTCAAACAAGTCACATGTATCACTTGTGCCTTCAAAAAAAAAACATATTCACACAGATTGTGGACAAAATTCTGGTGTTTCTACTGTCAGGAAAAAGGACAAGCAGTCCTCTGAAAGTATAGCTTCATGTCAGAACATCTCTGCTACCAGAGCCAGTTTAGAAACTTTCTTTCCCTCCCCAGCTTCCAGCCCAGATGTGCATTCCCTTCCTCAC